CTCACGCGCATGCCACTGTTCTATTTTATACTATATAGGTGGATACATAGTAAAAAAATTATCAAATATTGATTGTTATACTTGTGCCTTAAGTTTAAGAAAGAATAATAATGGGCATAATAATAGTCATACCAAACCACTTACAAAATTTTTAGATTTTTGTGATAATGGAGGTTTAATTAGGCCTTCCAATTGCGTATACACAATTTGTATAGAAACTGAAAAACAGTTAGATATGTTAACCGATGGTTATACAACGTTATCTGTAAAAAATTTAGATCTAAAAGTAATAACCAAAGTTAAAAATAAGTTTGCTCTTGATTTATCGATATTTCCACATTTGACATGTGATAATGTAAGCATTTCAGATATGCCACATAAAATTCGGCTTTTAATATTAGTTTGTTCTCGATATATTAAAATAAGGTTACATTCTTATGCTAAATATTATTTACAAGAGATTCTCAAACCTTGTAGAAAAAGGTTCCAATTAACAAAACAAATTTTATTTTATAAAGAATAATGTACACACTGTTTTTAACATAACACGAGCGATATTATTATCTGTAATAATGTACACAACTTCTGTTACAGAAAAAATATAACTTATTTTTTCTGTAATGGAACTTAGTTTTTGTAATAAAACTTGGTTTTTTGTAATACAACTTAGTTTTCTGTAATAAAACTTATTGTTTCTGTAATAAAAATTATTTTTTACTAAATGTACTTGTTTTACTTTTCTATTAACAAATTTTACTTTTATTATAGCGTGTTATGTATATATACTTAAAATTTTAAATATAAATTAAATTCTTATAATTTTCCTATAGTCCTATTATCATTTTGTAAATAAATAAGAAATAATTATTTTATTTTAATCTTTTCAAACTTTTATTTTTAAAAATTTTTTATTTCTTACAGGCGGGACGCGGTAGGGCGGTCGCCCAGGGCGCCAAATCTATAGGGGCGCTGCTGCCTGGTTTCACCTAGTTTGAGAGAGATTCTCTAAAATATAAAAACAAAATGGGGTTCGTCGTTCGATATTATTACCCTGTCTTTTCTTTCGCAAGAATTTTGAGCCCTTGAATTTGAATGGGCGCCACGATAATCTTGCTCAGGGCGCCAATGTTGTTAAAACCGGCACTGGGCCCCCTAGTGGTGACACGCATGCGCAAGAATTCTGTACATACTTTTCAGAACCATGTATTTGGCGAAGTTAGCGGTCTAGTGTTATATAGAAGTCTGTGGGTCACCGGCGATCCAAGCTAGGGTAATCGTAGAATCACACCAATAGTAATGCGTTTGAATATTTATTGTCAAGGCTTCTACGACCCTTCGATGCAATCTGGCCAGCAATAAGGCACCACACAATTCCAGGCGTGGTAAAGATATTTTACTCAACGGCGCAACTCTCGACTTCGCGCACAGTAATCGACTTGAGCAATTATTTAATGCATCTTCTGATCTTATATACACACATGCTCCGTATGCCACTTCCGAAGCATCGCAAAACGCATTAATTTCAACTCGAACCGGATTGGTTATGACAGTTAATCGAGGAATGGCAATATCCCGGATGTAACTCAAATGTTTGACATAATGTAACCATCGCGTATGAACGTGCAGTGGCACGGCCTCAACCCAACCGAGCTTCAGCTGCCACAATTCCTGCAGGAGTATCTTAGCAGTAACTATTATGGGTGCCACCAAACCCAATGGATCAAAGATTTGAGACACTGTCGACAAAATACAACGCTTCGTGACTCGGCCAGAGATCGATGGTGGTTTCGTGTTGTATTGCAGATTGTCGTCCCTATGATTCCACAGGATACCCAACGTCTTCATCTCTTCTCCAATCCGATGTGTGAAATCCGTAGTTCCATCCGAATCTTCCGCCGATGTAATAGATGTATTTGACACCCATTTGTGCAGAGGAAAACCTACCGATTGGAGAACCGCCGTCACTTCGTCCTTGATACGCTGTATGTGCTCCACCGTATTGGCTCCAGTAATCATATCATCTACATAAAAATCTCTCCGAATTATTTGACTAGCTTCTGGAAACTCCATCTCCCCTTCCTTAGCAGCCTGGTGTAAGCATCTAATCGCCAAGAAGGGGGATGCCGCCATTCCATATGTAACAGTTCGCAGCTTGAATATCTTGATCGGCTGCGACGGATCTTCTCTCCACAATATTCGCTGCAAATCCTGATGCTTATCAGTCACGTAAATCTGACGATACATTTGCCGAATGTCGGCCGTGATAACATAAGGATACTGCCTAAATCGAATTAGAATTGCGAATAAATCCTGTTGGATCGTAGGACCAACCATTAAAATATCATTCAGCGATAGTCCAGTTGATGTTTTGCAGCTAGCATCAAACACCACTCTTAGCTTAGTGGTAGTGCTCGATTGCTTGTAAACTGCATGATGCGGGAGATAGTGGACATCACCAAACGAATTCTCGTGATCCTTGATTTGCACCATATGGCCCAAGGTTTCATATTCCCTCATGAACGCCACGTACTGCTCCTTTAGTAATTTATTTTTGGCGAATTTATTTTCCATAGCCTGTAATCTCCGGAGTGCTCCTGTATATGAATCGCCCAGATCCTTCGGTTCTCTCTTAAATGGTAAATGCACACTGTAGCGGTCATCATTTCCATACGTAGTATTTTTCATAAAGTTATCTTCACACGCCTGTTCCTCCAACGAATACATGTGATTATCGACACCTTCCTCTATTTTCCAGAAGGTTTCCAGCTGTCGCTGCAATGCATCATTAGATGCAACAAAGCACGCCGTGCTAGAAGTACCTCCATGCATTTCTCCAGATATTATCCAACCTAATTGAGTCTTCTGCATGATGGGCTGATTCTTCGCCAATTTAAATTGTCCTGCACACAACAACTCTCAGAAAACTGCCGCACCAATTAATATGTCGATTGAACAGGGATGATCATAATATGGATCAGCCAATGGAAATCCTTTAGGAACATTCAATTTTGATATGTCCAATTTTGTGGCTGGTATTTGCTCCGCTATTTTATCCATAACGTAAAACATCATAGCCGCTTGATATCCGTTGACTCTAGACTTTATTATCGTGTTGGTGCTTTCAACGACACCAGACGTCTGGCCGCCGACTCCTAGGATCGACATCTCAATCGCCTTTCCTCGTAATTGAAGTTGCTCCTTGAGTTTCTTCGTCATTAAATTAGATTGTGCACCTGAATCTAACAGCGCTCGACATTCGCGGTACTTTCCAAATCTATCCTTTATCAACACGATAGCTGTTGGTAATATAACACATGACCTTTGATTATAAGTAGACTCAAGCAATGCAATGGGTGTTTCTACCGTAACATTCGCTACATTGGATTTCGCATGATTGTGATTGTAAGGCAATAACATCATGTCGTCATTAGACGCTCTTCCATCAATGACGCACATCATCGCTTGTGGCTCCGTCTCCACATGCAACAAAGTATTATACCCAGGTAGCACATATTGGTTTCATATACGCTTTTTAAACGTATATATAGTTTCATAACCGTAAAGAACCATTGAGAAACGTTCGAACGGAAACGTTTTTGAAACCATGATTTAAGAAACGTATTTTTTACGTTTCCACAGTTAATCTTTCAATATGCGCATGTGGGTGTATTTTACACTTCAGGCTTCTTCTTTTCCTAGATTTCACGTAGAAGCAAATTTTTTGTGCTTCCTTCTTTAGCAGTATCGAAAAACTATTAAAATTAAAATTTCAACCTATTTATAAAATATTTATTTTGTGTAGCACGTGTTGATTTTTATACGTTTCATACACGTTTACTAAACATTAGATACGTTTAAGAAACATGTATGAAACGTATATGAACCATCACGTACTACCTGGATTATGCCCGATAGGGTGGAGTTAGGAATGCCCTAATAAGGAATCCCTGACATGTGCCTGATCCGGTACGCCTGGTTCCCTCATAGAATTTGATAGACGTTAACCTGATGTATACAGGACATTATACGAGGTCTGTTCAAAAAGTATCGCGAATTTTGTGTTTTTTCAAAAATTATTTATTTATTCATGAATATCTATGTTGTCCCCTTCAAAGTAATCCCCATCAGATATTATACACTTGTGCCAACGTTTTTTCCAATCTTCGAAGCACTTCAAAAAATCCTTTTTTGTGATCTTGTTCAGCTCCTCCTTTGATGCCGTCTTTATCACCTCAATCGTGGCGTAGCGTCGTCCTTTCATGGGCCTCTTCAGTTTCGGGAACAAGAAAAAGTCACAGGGGGCCAGGTCTGGGGAATACGGTGGCTGCGGCATCATTATAGTGTGTTGTTTTTGGCCAAAAATTCGCGCACAAGCAACGATGATTTTTGGTCGAAAGTGAGCAATTTTGGTACGAATTTCGCGGCGACCCGTCTCATGCCCAAATCATTGGTAAAAATCGAATGGCACGAGCCAATCGACATG